GCTCATAAATCCTCCCATCCTTTGCTCATTCTGAGTTCTATCCTTGACTCTTATATCCGCAGTCCCTTTGCAGAGCTCTGGCAAACAAAGCTCAGACTAGGGGTCAGGATGAAAACGTGAAGAGGACTCAGTAAACTTAAAATTGAGCCAACAATGAAGAAACATTTTAAATATAACCAAGAAAATGTTTCTATGCCCTTGAGCACAATACTGATGAGATGTCAGCCCTGCAAACCTTATCTGAAGACCCCTCTTTTATTCCTGTTTCCTGCTGCTGTAAAGAGAAACCTTGGGAATAACAAGTGTCATCATTTTTTAAGAAGTAAGCAGTTAAGTAATTACAGTAAACGCCACACACACACACACACACACACACACACACACACACACACACTCACACTCATACTCACACTCCATCCAGTAAGAAAAAAACTCTTCAGTAAGAATTTCACCTAGCCCCAATATCAGTTGCTTCCAAGATTTCAGGATTTGCTACATTATATTGTTTCTCGTTTTCCCTGCATCATAGAGAGCAGCTTGGGGCTAACATCATTTCCTGTTGCAGAAGAAGCCACAGTCTTTTATTAAGCAGTGCTGCTTTCCGAGCACAGCAGTGTCTCTCTCCAGTTCCCCTAAAGGAGTCACTGCAAATATCTGCGGAAATGGCAGCTGTGACCATGTGTTTCCCCTCGGTGGAGCCAGCCTGGAAACAAAGACAATGAATTGCTTTTAGAGTTTGCCAGATTTATACCTTCAATTTTCATGGATCCAAAAGACTGCTTTTTCAATGTTTTCTTGTAGTAATTTATAAAACCTAGAATCACATGATTACTGAATTTTAAAGCTAGATAGAACATTAGCAATCTTCCATCATATCTTATGTAAAAGATAAGAGAGGGGACCTGACTAGCTAGTTATAGGTCTGGATTAGAACCTAGGTCTCTGGGGGCTGGGGATTTAGCTCAGCTGCAAAAGCGCCTGCCTGGCAAGCGCAAGGTCGTGAGTTCGGTTCCCGGTACCAGAGAAAAACAAAAACAAAAAAAATAAATAAAATAAAATAGAACCTAGGTCTCTGGATTAGCAACTCAGTTCTGTATCCTAACTACAGCACTGATGCTCAGAAAATCCAAAATCAGATTCACTGGAAACAAGGTAAATACCCTGTAAATTAGTAAATATTAATAATTACATCTAATTATTAAAATTGACTAGGGAAAACAATTCATTTGAAAATATTAACAATCCCTCAAATACAGGGATAAACTCATCGTCATTCACCATACTCCAAAAGAAGTTCTCCGAATATTTGGGGATTTACATGGGAATGAAAATCTGATTTCAGAAAGTAAAGCCACACCAGGTCACCTACATAAAGGATAATCTTCCCAAAAGCCTAAGACATAAATTGCAAAGACTGATTTTAACTTGAGCTCAGGATTTAGGGAGTCTTTGCTACAAACAGTTTTGCTGTTCTAAGCCCATGCCATGGAGACTGTGGGCGACCATGGAATTGTGAGATACAGAAAGGCCGATGCTCTGAGAGCTATTACTCACAAATCATGGGGATATTAATTTGCATTTATTGCCTTGGAGGTGGATAAAGCTGGATGCTCATGGAAATACTGTTTGAATTAAGAACACAGAGAGGTAAGAATTAACACTTTACACTGGCTTGATTGAGTGGTTATGGGATGATAAAGGAAATAGTACTGCATGATCAAGCCCCAGTGAGCAAGAACTGAGCAAATTAGATCTGGAATTTGGTATAAATTTTTTAAAAATATGCTGAAAAGTGATAGTGCTTATTTCCTCTATCAGACAACACTAATCTCGATTATTTTAAGTTGCTTCTTGGAGAAGTGACTGGCAGGTTCCATCACTAGTGACCCATAGGACCACAACGGCATTTTGATTCTGCAAGGGCAGAGACCTATAGCTTTCTGCAGCTCTCCTTTTGTATATATTTTTCTCCTTCAGTGACATAAACCTCAAATTTCTTTTACCATTGTAATAATAGAAAATTATTGGTGCTTTACTAATTCCACATTTTACATTTTTTAATCAAATAAGTCTACACAGTAGATTCCTGAGACTGATGAGTGCTACTGCCCTTTTGAACTCATGGGTCAGGAGACATGAGGGAAAGATGGGGTTAGCCTAATGCAATGTGCTAAATGTCAATCCAACATTAGTACGAATTCATTTGCTAACTCATCTCCAGCTTGAAGAACAACTCTCATTCATCATCACTATCATCATTGCCATTCACAGCAAAGGTGTGAACATGAGTTGATTGTTGATCATCAACCACTAATATAGCACCACATCCGTCCATCCTGTTGATGAGATGGTGGTCCTGGCCCAAGTACTCATAATGCCTGAAGGTAAACATCCAGGCCCACTGTGTGGAATATTGAGAGGCCCCCAGGAGCTGGAGAAATACTGCACATCTGTATGGCTGGAAAGGAGCAGATATTCTGTTGAAAGAACATGAATAGGATTCTACAGTGGAATTTGATGAGCTTGGAGGTGGATAAAGCTGGATGCTCATGGAAATACTGTTTGAATTAAGAACACAGAGAGGTAAGAATTAACACTTTAGACTGGCTTGAACTATGCATCCTTTTACACACATGAAAGAACACAATTGAAGTAACCTGTTGCTGCTGGATGCTGGTTTCCCTAAGGGGCATCTTAATGTCAGAGATAGTGGGTGACCCTCAGTATGTCAGTGACTTATCTCAGAGTCACAGGACACTTGCAATGCATGAGAACCCATAGAAAGTGTCTTCCATTTGTACCTAACCAAAGACAAAGTTGCTACAGGTTTCATTCCCAGGTGATTTTCTTTCCCCTTTTTAATGAATACTCTCTTGGCAGGCTCTTGTTTACAGAAAAGTTAGGTCTGAAAATTGCCCTTATGAACTTTTCTCAAAATGTTCTTCCACTGAATTAAATTCTAAATTTGGATGGAGCAAGACAGAAGAATGCATGTGCATAATCCCCTGTGCAGTTTGGGGACTGTGGGTCACCCTAGCAGAAGATAAGAGGAACCCTTAAGATAAGATCCTACCTGTGAGGTTAGAATTACAAGAATACAGTCCTGAATAACCAGATTGCTGCAGAAACATGATGGAAGAGGGCTATTGGGTTGGTTCCTTAGAAAAATTAACTCTTACTCCTAAGTGCGTTTTACAGATATGGCCCTGACTGACCATCCACTCCTGGGAGAGTGGTAACAAAGTCTAGCAGATATTAGTAGATATCTACCACTAATATGGACCTGGAGCTAATGCATATGGCAAAGAAGCTCCTGTTCAAATGGAGATTGTGTGTTGTGTTCTCTTGTCCCAGGCAAGTCCAGCCATATCTCTTTGTGGGTGCCTTGGCACTCTTCATTCACACTTTATTCACATTTCATGCAGCTCAGGTTCATTGAAAGTGCCTGTGTTTTTCCTACTCTGTTCCCATGTGCTGTGATCTGCATCCAAACCCTTGGTCAATGTCTGCAGAGCTGTGACTCTCACCTATCCTGCCTCGCTTTTACTCTAAAGAAAACAAAGCCCCTCGCCCTTGGCAGCTGGGGGACATAAGGATGGGGAACAGCAGCACATCAGAATGTGCCAGGTTTGGCCAGACAGTCCCCACACTGCTATTGGGAGAATTTGAGTTTCTCAAACCTGATGTGGGAGAATGGGAAGGTCGGAAGAAAGATGGAGTCACTGATATCATCTCAGCTTTCCTAGTGGCAGGTGGAAATGGCATGCTCCTTTGCAAATGTGCTGACTCCTTCCAGGCAAACTGACCCCTGGAAACACACATTAACTCCTGAGTGTCCTGGCTCTGACTTCTTTTTTGTCTCCTAGTGAATCTTCTGCTACTTACTGCATTTCCAGGATCAATCAGGACAGGCTAAAATCACTTGACTAACATCTTGTATTAAACATACCTTCCTTCCTCATCTGTGGCTAGAAGCGAGGTTGAGGGGCAGAGGACAGACAAGGAGGGAAGAGTCCCCAGATACTGGTTGATGGGATTTGAGATTATTTGAGATTACTGAACAACAACCACCACAGAATTGCCAGCTATTGCGTGCGCATGCACGTGTGTGTGTCTGTGTATATGCATGTGCCCACGTGTGCATGATTGGTATATTGCCTCCAAGAGTTACTCAGAACCAAAAACTACCACAGGACTTGACATTTTTCCCATGAGAAAATTAGGGGGATGGATGGGAGACAGCAGGGTGCTGGCAGGTTGGCCAGGGACTCCTGAAGCCACTGAGGCATAGTCCCTTGCAAAGTCCGACTTTCTCTCCTTCCTGTGAGGACAGATGTGGCCTCATAATGCTTCTGTGGGTCACCAGAGCATGTACCAGGGAACACTTCCAGCCACTCGTGGAGCGGTTCCGGTTCCCCTCCGCCTCCCTGTTCTTCGAGCACAGCCGGGCAAGTCTGGCCCACATACCTGTTGTAGAATGAGTTACACACCAGGTGAAGAGGGACATGGAACACTTTTTAATGTCAAGTCAGAGACAACCCCTCCCTCCCCTTCCCCCAATCCCACTTTCCCTCATCACATCCAGGACCCCTCCCTGAGGCCGCTCTGGCTCCCAGACTTCAGGGGAGGAAAAAAAGATTACCTAAAAACGGCATTTTTCTTCTCTTTCATACACACTCACACAAAGGTGGAAAATTAAATAAAATAAACCAAGAGGATTAAATTCTCCAGTGGTCACAAAGGCATCCGGGATTCCCTTAATGGGCTAAAGCAAGTGTCACTAAGGGTTTAGTTGATTCGGAGGCTTGCTGTCTGTCAATACCCAAGGCATCCTGGGGCAGCCAGCCAGGCCACCAGCAAGGGCCTTGGCCACAGAGAGCCACGCCTGGAAAGATGTGGTGCCCAGCATCGCTGTCATCATCGTCATTTTTCTTTTCACGTTTTATAAATGTCTCTGACATGTAAATAACCCAAAAAAATAAAAAGGCAGGAGCTGATTACACAATTACCAGTAAACTCTATCATCTTTTAGCAGGTCAACACACAGCTAACGCCATATACAGCATGCAGTAATGTCTGAGGAAGGACTCTGCTGAGAAACGAAATGGCTAGAACTAACAAAAAAAATATATGTATATATATACTGTATAATATATGTCTCAAAAGAAGCATAGCCAACAAACCCAGATACAGTGCAGATCAACTTTCCATTACTAAACAGTATGGAGATAGCATAGTACTGTCTGCATGAAATGCCAGAGAAAGGAGAAATCTGTAGCGCTGGTGGAGATGGTGATTAAGTCGGATATGTTTTTGGTGGATATGCCAAATCCTCACCAGGTGGTTAGGGCCTGGTGTGTGGTCCACCAGTTGTAAACCTAGTTAAGAAGTACACTATTTATTTTTAATGTTTAACAAACACACTTCACCCCTCTTATGTGTGTAGTTTTTAGTTTTGTCTCATTTTTGCACTAAGTTCTAAACTCATATCAGAAAATATAATTAATAAAATTAATAATGAATCAGAATCCCTTATTATTCATGATGTCCATGTAGTAAAATGAAAAGAAAATGTTTAACAATATCTTTTGTGACTGTTGTTTGTGGGATTGTTGTTGCTGTCGGGCTGTCTGGTTTCCTTTTGCTTTCTGTCTCAAATTCACATTGCGGACACACGTGATGGTGGCACCGTCTACCCGAGGGCCCCCCATGGCACATCTGGGCCCCGTGTCCCACTCTGCGTTTGTCTCTATGGACTGATGCGGTTTGGGGTGGCCAACTCCAGAATATTCCATGGTGGGGCACTTCAGGGGGCAGAGTGGCTGAGCCCTTGCCCACCCTGGCGACAGAGATCACACAGTGCAGCTTGTGGGTGGGTCCAAGCCAGGTGTGCATTCTTCCCATTTGGGAAAAGAAAGAAAACTCAGTGATACCTAAATATCTGCAAGGCAATTTTTCAATTTCCATTTTTTTTTAAACTTTTTTTTTCTTTCCCAAAGTATTCTTTGTTCCCCTCCCTCAAATTTCTGTCCCCTTAGGCTGTGATTCTCCGATTTGCTGGGTTCTTTCTGTCTTCTTGTTGCTGTCTCATTGCCGTGCGGTGGTGTTGGTAGATGCGGTGGCAGCAGCTTTCCCCAGGGGGGAAGTGGCACTCACATCAAAATTTGAGGAGCAGGTGTAAGACGAGAAGAGGGAGGAGCCAGACGCAGCCCGCCCTCCTTGATGCCCCATTGCTCACTTCACTGACAGCGCCCGGGCCTGTGGAGAGAACACACTGGTCATGAGCTGCCTGGTGAGGGACAGAGAACTCCAGCTATGGCTCACTGCAGTGCCTCCAGACTGCTCTCCCGGTGATGCAGGGCACTTGGTGTTCAGCTCGTGCACTGGAAATGAGCTTTGTGAAGCTATTACCTCCAGTGACTGCACTCTGTGCCATGAGAAACCTTCTCTTCAGGGAGAGAACAAAAGCCTCAGGGTCCAGAGTGTCCTGGTGGCCCCTGCTCCTTGGCTGCAGTGTAACATGCTCAGGCTATTGCTCAGGGTTAGGTCAAGAGGATGGTGAATGAACATCCTCCACAGAGACTCAATACCGTGAGATCCCTGCATTGTTCTAATCACAGACTCCTCTGAACTCTGACTGCACTAAACACCCCCATAACCCTCCAGCTGCTCAGCCTGTTGTTCAGAGAAGAACCTGTTATACACAACAATCTCTCTGCCTGCTGTCACTGCCATGTTGGGCACAACGTCCACTCTGCCAATCACTACATCTCAGGGCTGGCATGATACTCCACCTGGACCACCTAGTCTCTTCTCTATCTGGACAAGGAAATAGCAGACACAGCTCAAGCATCACTTCCTGAAAGCCCCAGCTAGTCTGCATGGAGTGGAGGTGGGACCGAGTCCTCTGCAGTGTAGACATGGGTCTAACTAGGGATTAGGTACACTTTGGGGTGAAGAACCTAGGAACAAGAACACCTTCTCATCTGCTGAGGCATCCTCCCTTGCCTCGAGTTTAACAGGCTGGTGTTTAAAGCTGGTTGCTACACTGGTCTGAGTCCTCAAAGGGGGAACACACAGAGCAGAACCTGCTGGCGTGTGTTACTCAGTGCTGGAGTTGCTTCTGGTTAAATCGTATCAGACTCAAATCTGGCTTCTTGATTCCATATGGAATTTTCACAGTCCTAAAATGCCTGACCTGAGGGAACTACCAGTATGAATTTCTTTCTTAGCTCCTTGGAATGAATACTCCTTTGGGGCAGTGACTTACAACTCTGTTCCTGAGGCTAACATTCCTGAGGATAGAATTTCTCAGCAGCGCAAGTGCTCAGGATGAGTAGCTCAGGGAATCTCCTTCTATGCTCTTCCCTATGTGGGGGCAAACTGCTGGGCAACACAATAGTGCAGGCATCCTTGGGGACACAGGTGACTGAGTGATGTAGCTGTGAAAGTCCTGAGGTCTCCCATTTCAGTTGTCACTTAGGATTGATCACTATTTCGTGATGTCTTCTAGAAGATGACTATTATGTTTCTATCCAACTACCAGCAGGGACTCCCTGTTCATATCCATGCACTGCCAGCCACTCTGGCCCTCCCTTGGGGTCACAGGCAGAGGAGCTCTCCCTGACCCTGTGCCATGGAGTACGTCTCTCCCTGCAACCCACTGCTAGCTCCCTCCCACCAAGCCTGAGGCTGAGAACACAAAGGCACATAGAAGGTTTGGACCCACCTGGCCCAGCATGCAGGCCTTTCTGGGACTGGTTCCCTGTCTTCCCTGGACAGAGTCAGTGGTCACATTCTACTTCATACCTGCACGTCACCTAGCACAGTTCCAAATGGCCCGGCAGGACACAGGACACATGGGCCTTTTCCCCTGTCATCTCTGTTGCTCTTCCGAACACCCACATATACAGCTTTGAAGCCCACTCTCTATTTGGTCCCACACACTCTTCTTCACACCACCCTGCTATGGCCAAGAAGATGCCTTGTGATAAAGGAGATGGATGTCCAACCCTGAGAGCAGCAAGAGGATCTCTCCTCTTCTCCTTCCTCTTCTTTCAGGGTTGATGGGGTGGGTAGAGGCACGAGCCAGGTGTACTGCCTGGCAGGAGCCTGGCTCTGTCACCATGTGCACAAGGGTGGAACACCATGTTTCTGGCCCAGGTATGCTGGAGCTTGGACGAGGCCCTGAGTTGGGCTGTCACTAGGGCCTGGCAGCTCCACTGGGTTCTCTGTCTGACACCCTTCTCCTGCTGTACCCCTCGTGATACTGCTTCTGCTAGGAAACACCACAGGAAGGCTACAGGGACAGGTCCTAACCCTCAGCACCAGGAAACTTGCTACAGAGAGAAGGAAAAGGTCACCAGATGACTCCCAGCACATCCTCCTGCTTATAGCATTGTCCTGGAGAAGCTCAGGTTGTCTCCCTGCTGCTCCTACCTAGGACCAAGATGGGCTTCCACGTTCCATTTGCAAACACATCCAGCTCCACCATACCCTCACACCCGTGCATCCCTCGCAGCTAGCCTCCCCATGGTCCTGTCTGCCCCATGGCATAGCCTGGAAATCAGGCCTGGAGGAGCTTTGCAGAAGCAGCAAGAAATAGAGGCAGCCCTGAGGCAGAGGGCCAAGCACATCCTCCCATGGGAGGCTACCAGGACTCCTCCGATATGTTTTTATGCTAACTGAATGGTCATATTTCTCTTTCCAAAGTGATCCTGCTACTAATCTGAGTCCTAGAGCCCTGTCCCAAATTGTCCAGCTTCATGGTAGAATAAGTGATTGTCCCACTCTCTGCCCCCTTCTCCTCTCTTCCCCACCATGTTCCTGTGTCCCCCTGTCCTGCGCAACATGGGCATGTGCAGGCCACACACGAGCACAGGTCTGCACCTCTAGCCATGTTTTGTCTTCCTCATTCTCACACACTCTGCCTCTCGGTCTGAAATGCTCTTCATCTCATTGCTCCTGTTCCTTGTTCAAGCTTCTGGTCAGCCCCAGTCATTCCTCCAGGCAGCCGTCTTTGACCGGCTCAGGTATGCCCTCCCAGTACCATGTGTACCCCACTGCTCAGACAGTTGCCATCCCATTTTCTAATTCTCTTTGTCTATTATGTATTGTCTTCATGGTGCTGTTAGCTTCTTAAAGACAAATTCTTTGTCTCACTGGACTGTGGCAGGTGGCCAACCAACGTTTGTTGACAGAAGTGGAGAGTATATTGCTCATGCTGATCTGTTCATATTTACTTTGTCTTTCTGTTTTTCTTTCTCTTAACATTGTACTTGGAGAAAAAAAAAAAGCAAAAAATGAACAAACTAAAAACAATGAGAAACAAAACAGAAAGTTTCCTGCAGTGTTTTCTGATTTACCTCCATTCCCCCTTCCAGATACTGCTACTCTTTTCCTAATTCAAGCAATAAAATTCACGGAAAATCCTGGTGCCAAGTGAATGTCTCCAGAGCAGCAAAGCCATTGGACTAGGGAGTCTGACAGAATGCTCGCAGATGGATAGGTATCTGTCACAAGACCTGATAGCTCATATATAGGAGGTGAGGATTATTATCTCCTTTCCAGTAGGCGGCTTTCCTGGGGTCCCATGAGTCCTGTCTCCAAATGCAATTTTCTTCCCTCTAACTTAGAGCTAACTGCTTCACTCAAGCATCTGAGAATGAAAAGAAGAGAAAGTGGGGCCCCGGGGCTCACCCTGCCCTGGATGAACACCACAAGGGGGATACAGTGAGAGGAGAAGCTCTGCTCAGGCAGGCATGGGTCACACTGTCCTAAGCACAGGCCTTCTTAGGGCCAGTGCTGGGCAGAATGACAGCTCAGCCCATCTGCCTGGTGACAGAGACACACAGATGAGGCCTCTGTTCTTCACCAACCACGCCTCCACTCCACACTGGATGCCTTTATTGCCTCTGTCTCATTAGAGAGCTGTGGAGGCCTAAAGAGACTAATTACCAGGACAGTTAGGGTCCCAGAGAACCGTGATGAGTGTCAATTATCCATCGGAAACATCTGGCAGGAATGAAAGCCTCAAATAAGACACATTTTATTCCTAGCCAACTGACTCACCCCAGAACCTCCCCCTTCCTCCTCCTTCCCCTCCCTCTCCCCACTTCCCTTCCAGCTCCAAGTTAAGAGACAGAGGAAGAGAGAGGGGTAAGCAAAGGGCAGCATGCAAGGCCGAGGTCTGAGAAGATCATTGCATGAGAGCATCCGTGAGCAAAGAGAGAGCAGGCATGGCGTGGAGCTGCCCGGAAACGAAGCTATTCGGGGCACTGACAGGTGCTCATTAGTGCTGCCAGCAAAGAAAGTTAGACTCGTGCAAGTGGAAGCTACCCTGGGAGTGTAGGATGTCCTCGGGGAGGGGTTAATCTAAACTGATCCAGAGACGGTCAAGGTCAGGGGAGGGTTCGGTTCCTTGCTTCCCAGGGTAAGCTCAGAAAAGAAGGCATCTTGGAAGGAAGTGAAGAGTGTTACAGACCCTGTCCCCAACAAGGCAGCAGCTGGCTGAAAAGATAAATATACCAACCTTTCCAAGGGGTCAGAGCTGTAGTTTTCACTTCTAAAAGAAATTAAAAACAAGCCACTGTTAAGATCTGAAGCAGTAAGAGCCACTCCCTTTGCACTCAGATGGTTTGAAGAATGATTAGCAGTCATGGCCCAGGAGCTTCCACAGGCCGCCTGCACCTGCCTCTTGCTGCACTGACCACAGCCCAGAGTGCACAGTGACTCCCTTTGGTTTTCTGGGGCAAGTGGAAGTGAACTAGAGTCTGAGGAAGGGTGCCAATAGTGGTCAGATGGAAGTGGAATCAAAATAGCCACTGGTTTGGCAGAAGATGTGGCTATGCTCTTGGAGCCTGAGGTGCCCAGTTAAGTCTCTTTGTGGAATGAATTTCTAAGCTGGTCATTAGACTGTCCTCAAATTTGCTGAAGTCTATAGGTCTTAAGTATGAGGCTGACTTACACTGTAGCAGTCTGGATGTAGTAGCTCATGCTGGGTTTGAAAGTTTCAAGTTTGACCTGCATTTATCTATGCATTTGAGAAGCACTGGTGAATTAGCTCCCCTGTGCCAGAGGAGGCTAGGCTTTTGGCATTTGACTTCACTTTATGCATCCAATGATATGAAACTGCCCCTTAGGTTCATCTCTCTGGGGCCAGCTGAGGCTATACCTGCTGTCCAGCCATGCTTTCTGGGCTGCCCTGTAGAGACACCGTGATGCTAGCTTCCTTCTATGACCAGACGTTACCAACTTTACCTCTCAAGGCAACCCATGGTGTTTCCCACCTCTTTAGCTGATGGCAGAGGTCTTCTCTGGTCTTAATTTTTGATCTCTTTCTTTTGTAGCTAGGAGCCTCTGCAGGTGCTCACTTTTAATATAGAAAGCATGGAAAATGGCATTATAGCCTTTTGTATGGAAGCAATATGTCTGCAGTCTGTATTCTTTGTCCAAAGGTCTTAACATAAAGCAAGATAACCTAGATGTAACCTGTCCTGAACATGCCTACAATGCTTTGTTCAAATTCAGGTCAATGCCTACCATGCAAACTCTCCATCTAGTCTGCAAAGGCATCTGATGTAAGATATTCTGCTTGATTTAAGTGGACATTACCAACCCTGAGAAAACATTCTAAAGATATAATGATGTAAGAGATGATCTATGGCTAAATGTTTTGTTATTGAGAGGAGAAATGATGGAAAGCCAGGATGAGGCAGGAGTGGCAGTCCATGCTGTTGGTGGACTCAGTAAGGACAGTTCTCAGGACGCTTGTTGGTCTTTAAAACCAGCACAGAAGGTAAGCAGAGGTCATTGTTACAAATTGTCCCTCGTGAGTGCCACTAACTTACTATTATTCTTATGTCAAAAAGGGGAGTATTGGAAGGAGGAAGGACAATCTGAAGAGAGACCTGAGGGACAAAGCAGTCACACAAATTTCACCTCCAAACACATGGAGGTTCTGGTTCAGATTGAGCTGGAAAACACAGAGAAGGTCCCATCTGGCAATTAGATTAAGGCACAACATCCTGCTCTAGATAACAGAGTGATTCTCAACAGAGAAAAGATCTGAGAACCATGTCAGCTTTATTGTTCTCATGTAGCTTTTGTATCCTACTCTGAATCTCCAGCACATTCAATTTGAAAGGCCAGTTCTCTTTAGCATCAACAAAGGTAAAGAAGAACTTCACAGCTGCCTTGACCTCAGCTAGAACTTATTCATTGGCTTTTCCAGACAGGAATGTCAGAACCTTTCAGGTTTAACAGAGTATCCTTTGTCTTTGCTTATAACACAAGGAGGAAATGAAGACAAAAAAATGCTTTACATGTACTCAAAACCGAGCATGCTGCCTCCATCCAGTCCCTCTGCTTTGACACTAGAAAGAGATGCGGGATGCTGGCACTGTCTTCTATGTGTCACTTGACCTGCTTTTGTTGTGTTGTGCTTCCAGAGCATAAACTATGCTAGAGGCAATCCTAGTCATAAGCTCAAGGCTTTGAGTTAAGTCTTGGGTATGGAGAATGGAAACAATCATGTATTTTTCTTTAATGGGAAGTTAAGTGAAACAATGGTCAAGAGAATGGAAAAGGGAGGAAGGAGGGAGGAAGGAGAAAGGAAGAATGGGAATAAAGAACTAAAAGGAGGTAAGGAGAAAGAGGGAAAGAAAAAAGAAAGAAAAAATGAAAGGAAAAGGAACTGTCTACACACTAAGTTTCCAAGTGTGTCAATAGTCAGTGACTCTGCCTCAACCCATAAAGTGATTTTTTGCCAGAAAAGCCAATACTCATAGCTGAATCCACATACCCAGGTAAGTTTAGGGTTGCTGCCTAATTCTAATAGCCAGAGGCAGGCTGGGTGACAATAGATATACACCCTCCTAGAAATACAATAAGGGATTTTGCATCTTCTAGTATTTGTTATACACACAGCATGCCTTGGTAGCTTGACCCACTTGATGACCTTTGGTTCCTACAGGGAAGAACTGATCATCTCTTAGGTTGCAATTGTTCTGTTCAATTGTTCTGTTACTTTAGTTCTCTATTCTTTAATAAAATGTCATTTAATAAAATGTCTTGGTGGTCACTCTGAGGTTCACAAGCATTAATCAACTAACCCTGCCTGACCCTCAGATACCATCAAATTTTACTAAGTGCCCAGAATATAGAAGACAAAGAGCCAGGGATGGCAAAGGAGTCCCGTGGAGCCGTTGAGCTTGCAGTGCGGCCTGGCACAGCTGCCTGTGCAGAAGTCCTGTGAGCAATGAAGATACAGCCTTTAGCCCTTATTTATCACTATGAGAGTCTTGTTCCACCAAATATTAATACGAGAAGGTGACATGCAATCTGTCGTGTTTGCAAAAAGGAGGCAGAGAAATACTTCAATGGTGGCAAAAAATGCTGAGGAGGAACGACATTCTCTTATCAAAATCCTTCTAGTCCTTTCACATATTGGGTAGTGAAATAGCTTTGAACATCTCTTAAAGCCAAGGGTTCCCTATCAGTGGAAATCCATGCATTTGTATAAATCTTTCTTGTATTTCTCAGATAAGATGAGCATAACCTGGAGATACTCCCTGAGAAAAGAGGCTGCTACCTATTTTATTGGAGACAAAAAGAACAAAAGAAAATGAACACAGATGATTGTGGAAAATATGCCCACGTACAAGGTCTGTTCCCTCTAAAATATTTCTACATGTGCAGACTGCAGGTGTGCTTAAAGCCACATGAAGCCAAACATTCTGATGGCCACCATCTACACCTTTCTTCTGACCCATTCCCTGCACCCAAAAAGAAGTTTGCTAGTATGAGGAATTGCAACCAGGGAGTAATGTAGATAGTTGGCATAGAGATATATTCCCTCAAATTGATCAGTTCACAAAATACATGAGACAGCCCAGGCTTGTCTCAAGGGATGGAGCCTAACAATGTTATCTCTGGCTCCTAGTCCCTGTGTTGACACCAGGAACAGTGATGTGCTTGCTTTGGTTTCTGGTTGGTTTTGTTGCTTATGTGGTGGAGTGGGATGATGCTGTTCTCTGAGCTGTGCACAACTTTGGTTAAGTGTCAGCTTGTTAGACACCATGATCTGAGTTTCCATTGCTCCTACTTCCTCTGAGGAAGAAGTTCTACATGGTGAAAATCAGCTTAAGAACTCCTGGAAGCACATGCATAGCATCAGCTCTCCTAGCTGCAGCCCCTCACTTCCGTTATACCATTTATGTGAGCTCCTTTTCTAATGTTGTCTGTTTTAGAGGTGTGAATATGCTCCCTGAAGAGGTTCAGCACACATAAGTTGAATCACAAGTTGAATCTGAACGCATCCATTGACTTACCATTTCCCTTTTAATTCTGTTGTGTTTTCCTATTTGTGGTTCATCACCATGGTACTATACATCACTAAGGTGACTAAGGTAGCCCATTACTTTTCATGCTAAAAGTATTTTTCCTCATCGTCAAACAGCTTCCCAAATAATTCATTTCTTTCTATCTCCTTCTCCACCTCCCAGGCTGACTGCCATCCTCCCATGAATATTGGGACAAATAGAATGTAAACGGATAAACATGAGGGGAGTCGGGTAAGGTAGGAAGAGGGTGGCTAGAAGACTGAGCTGGGAGGTAGGGGAAACCTCTTCCCCCACCAGTTGCCTTTGCTGGACTCCTGCTGGGGTCCACACTCACCCTAAGAGGAGAACAGCAGTACAGAGCAGAAGTTTTATTCCACTGCTCAGTACAGTAATTAGTCATGGACATAGTGAACCTGCAGAAAATCCAAAGGGATGTGTAGAGTGGTAAGTGATGCAGGAATCATACATGGGCAAGGACTTGTCGTGGAAGAGGATGTCAAGGAGTTGGGAAACCAGGTGATAGTCTGGTTTGCTCCAAAGGGTGCCTGGTTTATCACCTGGGAAACTAGGTGATAGTCTGGTTTGCTCCAAAGGGGGCCTGGTTTATCAGCTTATATCTGGAGATTCCAAATGCACCTGCTGCGTTGGTGGTATAGTGGTGAGCATAGCTGCCTTCCAAATGCACCTGTTTTCAAAGCCTTTCAATATGCACTTTCTACTGAATGCTGAAACAATTCCGCGAGGGAGATAAGGCATATCTATTACATGCTATAGAGGAGGAAACTGAATCCAAATAAGTTTTAGTGAATTTCTCAAGAACAGACAACTCCTCAAGGTCAGGTCTCAACTAGAAGTCAGTGGTGCCCAGCGTGGATCACCACTTGCTGGGGATTATCAAGGGACCCCATGCCTGCCCTCCTCCTTTACAGAGCCTTGGAAATGGGCAGATTCATTACTAGAATGTTGTAGTTATGATGTACTTGTGCTTGATTCTGTTGCTGAGGGACAGTTGCCAGGTATCCTGTTATGAGATTCGCTAAGCTAGGGTTGTCTTCCCATGAGTTCAGATTTACTCCCCCACATTTGCCTTCATGCTGACATCCAGGTTTTGAGATTTTAATGATGCTTTATTGTCCTCCCCCCTCCCAGCCCTCCTAGTACAGTATAGCCAAGGGATGAGCAGAGAAAAGAGATCTATCCTTGGACATTTTTGTCAGATCCCAAGGACCTCCTTAGATAACATTATACCACCATCTTCTAAGCATATTGACTGATAGGACTGTCAGGTAATGCATAGAAGGGTTCAGGGAGGAAAGGGGGTTTGGGATTGAGGGGAGGAGAGAAAAAAAATAAAGCGAGGGGGATACTGACCTTGCAACAAAGTTGAGCTTGTAGGCTCATTTAGTTCTAAGTCAGGTGAGGGACATACGGGAGAGAAAAATGAAAAACAAACACATAGATTATATACAGTGGCTATATATTTGTCATATATAGTTTGTATACTGCCTTTCTCAAGCATTTCTGGAAGAACAGACAAATAAAAGATGACACAAAATCCAAGGGTGGCAGGACAAGACGTGGCAAGACAAACACGAAAATGCTTTGAGTTTCTACACATGGATGAGGTGGGTGGCATGCGAGGGAGCTGGCCACTCTATTCTCCAGTGCAGATAGGCTCATGTCTAGCTTGCTAAGGCACTGATTCAACAACAAATGACCAATGTCCCTTTCTTGGGGTCTTTATTCCATAGCTTTTCCCCTGCACTCACCCGCATTATGTCACCTTGGAAGATCAAGTTCAGAAATTTATGAATGACCCCTTAGCACCATAATTGGAACAAGTTTCCCCTGAAACTACTGTGACTCACGAATATGAGAATGGAAGTCACAAGTGCATGGAGAGCTATGCAGTCCCAAAGAGCAGCTTCACGATGGGAAGGACCGCCCTGCCCCTTTTGGCTTAAACATTCCCCCAAAGATACTGCTCACGATGAGAATTTCCTGCAATCAGAGCTCCTCCCTTTCCAGGGTCCATGTCACATGGAAAGGAGTGTGCAGTTTATGCACAAGTTGGTCACAAAATGATGGTAATGCAGCTGGCTCTCTGTAATGACACTGGAAACGAAATTCACTACAAATGTGGTATAGTCACATAAAGTAAACCGCTTTGCAGTCTGCTCACGTCTACTTGATGACTCTTAATGGAAAGAGACATGGAGAATTCCCTAATAAATTTATATTTGTCTAATGCTTTCACTGATGGTAAGCCTCAGTAATGAGCCTAGGAGCCACGGTAATGTCTGGACTAGACTTGGTGAGAGCCAATGAGTCGGAAACACTCCTTTCAAAGATTAGTGGGTTTTCACTAGCTCTCTGGAATGCTGGCACCCAGGCAATATTCTTGGGAAATTTCTCTCATCTGAGACTAGGAAATCTAATTGGTTTCTGATTGACTCAATGAGGAGATGCTGCAAACTTTAATCTCCATTGTGGAGATGTAGCATGTCACAGCTCTGAGACCACTTGCATTAAATAACATCTCACGTGTCTCACATTGGTCTTTCTTTGACCCAGTCCTTCTAAATTTAATAGAATAGGTATCATCACTTTATAATGTGCTTCTTAGAGAATCCTGGGATCCAGAAAACTGACAATGACTGGAAAGTCCCAAAGGGTGAGTGCTGTCATATCATCGGGGAGAGCCAGAAGCAGAAGCTGATGTTGTCTTGGCCACATGTGGGTCCACTGAAAGAGAGCTTCTGAAACAATGCCTCACTGCTTTTATGTTATAAATGCCAGCTACTTCACTCTTTACACAAATTTGCTGCTATTGCACCTTGAGTTGGCTCAAGGGAAAAGGCTGGGGAATTAGACAAGAGTGATTACGTCAATGGAAAAACCATTGTATTCATCCAAATTAGAAGAGAGTGGAGGTCAAAGCAAAAGAAAAACTATTCCAAGAAATGAGGACTGTCTTAGGTGTAGAGCAGGCTTGGAAATGGGTTAAGGGGAAAATGTGGAAGAGATGTAGATTTGTAAGAAAAGAAAGAGGGATCTGTTTCTTTCTAATCCAGACTCTATGCATTGACAGACACCTGCCAAAAAACTCCCCGAAAGTCTCACAAATGTGAAGGGCACTCATGAACATCATTGCTCCAGAGATGCCAGATAAATTGAATAGGAAGAAAATGTTCAAATGGGAAGGGGTACTAGGGATGGGGGAGGGAGGAAGGAAGGCAGGGAAGAAGGAAGGCAGTGAGGGAGGGAGGGAAAAGAAAAAATGATGAGAAAAGAAAAATTGGAAACAAAGCTTTTGTAAATACGGAGGGAAAGAGGGGTTGAATGGAGGGGAGAGGAATGGGAAAAAAATCAAGTTGTGTCATATACAGGTAAAAATTCCCTATGATGAATCAAAAAATGTAATTAATTTTTTTAAAAAACACAAAAAGGTCTAACAAGGGCATTCATGAATATCGTTGCTTCAGAGATGCTAGATGGACTAATCACTTTGATCACAGTTCTCCTATTCTGAGCTGCAGGTTCTGAGATGAGGGCAGCCTTCCATTTTCAGGTCCTCCCAGATAAAGCTGAGCTGGAATCCATATGCTGGGAAGGACACCAGGAGGATGTGATTTGGAAGCGGAGATGTCAGGATGCAGCCAACACTGTCACCAAGGGCATGTGCAGGGGCAGAGTGGACAACGGGGCCCTTAAAACTGAGATTAACTAGGATTCCTCAGAATCAAAACAATAGTGTTTGCCAATTATCTGTCAAGTTCACTTTCTTCCCCTTATCAAATCAAAGAGAGTTTCTCAACGTAGAGGTTATGGATAACTGATTTGAAAAAATTCCTGACTCCCTGAATTTGATGGGGTCTGACGAGTCTGAGTAAGAGGCAACCAGAATTAATCATGTGTTCTACAGGGAGGATCTATATCCATCAAGGAATTAAAGCCTCTGCCGTGTGCCTGGAGTCACATACAGGAATGAAGCCCTACGATGCAGAGACATCTATTATCTGAGGGCTGGGTATCTGGGGACCTAACACAGAGCTTGGGTACCTGTTTCTGGCACCAACAGTTGCCAGACATGGAATGAAGGCAGAGCACTATGCATTGTACGATTAGTCCCTCAATGAATGTTTAAAGAATCCACATATGAATGACTATGTGATATCTTTTAAGATGATGGTTTAGATGAACAGATGTTTTAATCCAGCCACACAACATCCATTGACCAAATGGGGAACTTGGAAAACCCTTATTTTCTGTCTTATTTTTCCCTTCGTAACTAATATTATTAAGGATTCATAGGTTTGTGATTCAGTTTTTTCTCAATATAATTCAGTTTCTCTCATGTTCCAATGGATGGGGAAAGCTTCAGAAAATGTCACATGTTATATTAACCCAGGGAGGAAAGTATTGAATAGTACATACTTCTCTCTGGGTACCTTATAGTTTACCCAATTATTATTCCCAAGTCAATTTAGGAGACATATCAAAGGAAGAAAAACGGCATTATTGGCATCCCCAAATTTTCCTCTGTTTCAGAATTTTTCTCATTGTAGAATGAAATGGATGTTCCTTTTCATTTTTCTTTCCCTACTCCTGATACTTTCTTATATATATACAAACTCTCTCTCTCTCCCTCCCCCCTCCCCCTTCCTCTTGGTCTCTCATTCTCCCCTGCCTAACACATGTCTGATGCTCATCATTCCAGACTCCCCTGCCCAGGTCCACCCCTCCAGCAACCCATCCCCACTTCCAACTCTCAGCGCCCACTCAGGGCTCAGTCTCACCAAATAGCGTGATGCTGGCATTGGTGTGGCCCAATTTGTTGGAAGCCACACATGTGTAGTTCCCATAATCATGTTCAGAGACATTGAAAAAGATGAGTTTTGAGAGGAAAGGCCTGTTTTCCACTTTGACTCCCTTCTTTCCTTCAATCAGTCTAAGACAAGAGACAAAAATAAAAGGGGAAAAAAAAGAGATGGTCAGTTTCTCTCATAGAACAGAGTAGACCCTGGAATTATTGATCTTCCCGTTCTCCCTTCCCCCACCTGGCACGTCATAACCACTGTTCACTCCACTCAATAACCCTTCACGTTCACACATGAGGGCATATGAAATGTTTCTTCTCCATTTTTTATATATTAGGCAGGACATCTCACCTTACTATCCCCATATTTAAGTTCTCCGAAGACAGGTGCATCGTTTTATCCTTGGTTTGTAAACCTGCCAGTCAAACCACAAAAAATATACTGTGCCAGACTGTGATATTCATAGAAGTATTGTGAGCGCAATAACAGTGCTCAAAAGTGAGGACTCATTTGATGCTGATGGTGGTGGCAAGAGGGTGATGGTGATGATGATGACGAGGACGGTGCCAATCATCCTGACTATGAAAATCTCAAGTTTCCAAGAGAACAGTGATGTAAGGGGTTTGGAAAACCTCACTTTTCTAGCACCTGGGTAGTAAAATTTCTTCTTAAGCACTCAAAGCATTCTACAATACTACATAATTTTTTGGCTGTGAAGAAAAGAAAATAATCAGGGATCATTTCTGTATCAGGGGACTCTGAAGGGCCTGGGAAGAGTGATCTTCCAGAACATCATCGGGAAGCAGTCTGAGAGGAATTAGAGATTCCCAAGACTAGAACCCTGTAGATCCAGGATAGTCTTTCAAACCAATCTCCTCCAGCAGGCCACTCTGCCATAAGGCTCATATTGGTTGTAGGGGCCAGGAAAGAAATGCCGCACAGATGGTCAATGTGGGCAGGGAATTTCAATTACTTATGAAACTATGGATTCATCTACAGGAAAATAGAGAAAGTAAAGGGAAGCAGCTGGTAAGGGTATGAAGGGTAAGGAGAGATCAGCTACTTCCCTCCTTTTCAAGTGTTAGCAGCAACTCCTATTACAGTTGTGGATCTACATAGGAATTTGAAACCAATTCTGTTCCTTTTGAAAATAAAATATCCTATTAGAGAATGGGCTTTAAGCCAGTCTTTTAGTTTCCTTGAAGTAATATGTATTCCTTGTCTAGAAGCTGATTGTATGGGATAAGAAGTTGAAATAGGATAAAGCCAAAAATCCCTGTTTAGGGCCTGGACTGGGGCAGGACTCACAGGAAGTCCACAATGCCAGGGTGGATGCTCGCTGTCAAGGCTCAGTACACACGCATCAGGGCATAGTGGCTGGTGCTGGAATCATCAAACCAGAAAGCCCATCTTTAAGGCAGAAATGGAAGTCAGCAAGACAATGAAGAGAAAATGTTTTGTTGAATGTAAAATGTTGTTCAGTTAATGTTTTTCTCTGAAGTTAGATGAGAGCATTCCTGTTTGTCCTTGGGTCACAGTATATTTCTGGCACAGAGACAGCTGCACTGTCACTGTCATACCGGAAGGCTTCATCTCTGTGAGATTACAGTATGGCTCTATCCATCCTCAAAAGTTATGGTAAACTTGATCGGAGGAAAGAGGCAGATTCTGGCTAAAATTGTCACCCAAGATCTGTCACAGGGGAAGGCAGAAGATTGGTTGAAGGGCCTTATCTTGCTCTCTTTTAAGTAGATTTTCCTGTGTGAGCCTTCAGCTCCTAAGATAAGGACAATTAGCTGGCTTGAGTCCATGAACTTCATTAAAATGCTTGCAGTAGGAGTACAGAACGAGGTATTGTTGCATTTCCAGCTTGTCATATAGGCACTGATCCTCTAGGGGGTGCTGTCCAAGGACAGCTTGGCCTGCCACCAGCTGGAGACTTCTTGGCTGTCCACCCAGTGGATGCCATTTGCTGTTTGATAGAGAGGAAGCCTTCATATCTGAACCCAAATGTTAAGTAGATGTTGGCTAAACACAATGTAAAAGGACAGCAGCGCTATGCAGCATTTTGCAGCTCTGGGACGACACCACTACCCCTTCTCCATGTACTTACACACCTTCACACACCCCATACAGGCATCAGGCTTCAGTTTCTTCATGAAGCTATAGACTTTGGTGCCTAATATTCCTGCTAGTGGGAAAGGGACAGCACAGAATTTCACCTCCTCTGCCTTTAGTGGATAACACATCCAGTAGCAGCAGAGTGGTACTAGGAAGCCAAAGACCTTGAGAACATGGCCTGCCTCTGCCACAGATGCCTTCCATTTCCCTCAAAGTCTGCTTGTCTCATGGAGTACGGGAGGTAGGCTGCAGCTGTGCTTCTCATGGCCTGTGAGATAAATCTCTCAGACCTGCCTGGAGGAGGTTGCCTGGTGGCCCCAGTGGGACAGATTGAACTAGTTGTGACAAAGGACACAGAGGCTGAGATGTTCCTGTTAGGCTGACTAGCAGGACAAACGGTGACTCCATTCACTGGAGGGCACTGGCAAGGGATAAATAGATGGGCAGTCAGTGGAAAATGGAGCAACATCAATGGAAGGGGAGCAAAGCAGGAGCCATCAGAGCTCAGGAGGGAAGCAAAGCTGCACCAACAAGCACTGATGCTGTGGACGCAGCCCCGCCTAGAACTGTGGTTTCTGGCTGAAAAACAGCTTTGCTATTCTTTGTATCGGCATTGGCCATTTTTACTGCATTTTTCTCCACTTATTTTGAGATCTTGCTTCTCCTATAAATTTTGTTTCGATTTTTCTCCCATAAAGAAATAGAATAATAGGATGCAACTGATTAATTTTCACTAATTGAAATAATTGAAGGTTCAGAAACAGACCCTGAAGCTTTTTATGTTTGCTTGTTTGTTTCTTTCTGTCCTTCTCATCCTGGACCTTTATGACTCTGTTTTCTTCTTAGCACAATAGGAAGGGCGGTAGGGAAGGAGAGGGAATTCTGAATTCTTGAATGAAGGACAAAAGCCAGCTGAATTTCTTCTTATTTCTTTGTGAGTTTGTTTTCCCCTTTCTGCCTCAGGCCTTTCATCAATCAAGTGGGCTAGATGAACACAATACAGTTTCCTAGAAGCTGCCAGAACATATCCTGAAAAGGTAAAAACTGCTGCTCCTCACCATAAGACAGTGAACCTTAAGACTAAATGACTTCTTCTGCAGACTCCGAGACTACCAGGAGCACTGAACGCAGTCCACGAGGCATGGACAGCACTTCGCAAGCTCTGGGATGGGATTTCCCACATTGCTCTTCTCCTGTTGTCCTCTTCACTGTCTTCCCTCCTTGGCTTCTCTGCTTCCCTCTCTCCTTCCTCCCCCTTGACCCAGATCCATCACAGAGCTTTGTAGCATCCCCAAAGTGACCGCCTCCATTTTAATGGAAATATGCACTTTTATTTGTTGTTCATCCGCCCTAAAGTAGCTCATTGATAACCATAATTTCCACTATGTCTGGCTGTCCCTGTGCCATTCAATTACCTGGACCATCTTCAGTGACTCATAGCAAATACTCCCACTATGGCTGCCACAGTGGGAAGGAAGGGAACAGTTCCACTCTTTTCCACTGCAGAGGAAGAGAGACCTGGGCACAAAGGGAGGGCAAAGCCAGATGACAGACTCTCACACCCGAGGGCTGACAGTCTGGACTGGAAGTGGGGACTTGGGAGCTATAGTTGACTCATGAACCATTCCCAGAGCCCAGAGCAGTATGAATGCTTTAATGCCAACCCTGAACGTGTTAAAAATAGCTTCAGGCAGAACTTGTTATTTTCCTGGCCTATAAAATATTTAAAGGCCTATACATGCTCTTTGTGGCCTTTCTTTTGCAAATTTGCATTCCTAAAAAAATGTTACCTTTCAGGCCTGGTAGTTGGCAAGTGGTAATTCTGCATGGCAACATTAAAAACCTCACTGAACTTTATTAACTTAGGAAAAGCCTGTTTGTACATTATTTCCCCTGCACAGATATGGCGACTTCAGAAGTTATAAATTCATTTGCAAACAACTGGAATCAGGAAACTGGAAGTGTTTTCCTTCCGGGGTGGGGTTGAGGAGGGGAGGGGAGGGGAGGGGAGGGGAGAGGAGAAGAGGAAAAGAGCCCAGAGGAGCCAAGAGGAGAGGAGAGAGGAGGACCTTACCTTTTGTCATCCTTGTACCACTGGAATTCTGCAGAGGGAACTGCTGAGGCTTCACACTGCAGCGTCCCCTTCTGTCCCACGGGGACGCCCGTACCCTTAGCTTCTGAAATGTATGGTGGATCTGCAGAAAGATGTTCCACAGCGCTTGAAAATTCATTTTAACATGAAAAAGCCTCCCTCATTCATAGATTTTGTTTCTTTGCTCTCTGCCCTACTTTTGCTGACTTGCCTTATCAAATTGCTACAGAAATTATGCCAGAATGAAAACACTTTGAGTGCCACACCAAAGGAAAGCACAGTCTTCCCAGCTTGCATTATTTCTGTTCTCCTGTGCACAGAGATGGAATGAGTGACCAGCTCTTTGGATATATTTCCTGTTTCAACTTTTTAACTTTCAACCGTACACTGCATGGGTTGACAGTCAGTACCTTTAACCAGCCTTATAGAATTTCTGCACACCCAGTTGCCAAAATTTATAACCTCACCTATTCAGTTCCCATTAAAAGCTCAGTTACAAGAAATAATATTCATAGAGAATTTCCTGAAGGATATACACATCAGTCATTCTTTTCAGTATTCTAAATAATCTCTCTTTTTTTGGTTGTTGTTTTTTTTCCAGTACCGGGAATAGAACTCACGACTTTGCACTTGCCAGGCAGGCACTGTGCAGCTGAGCTAAATCCCCAGCTCCCTCTTTTCAGTATGCTAAGATGGGCTGCTGAATCCAGCTAAACCAAACTAGACCTACATACTTGGTCTAGATGCTTTCAAAGTCTGCCACACTACCTGTGATATGACAATGGTTTGCCTTGGCAGGCATTAAAAAAACAGCCACAATACACTTGCTGCTCAGTTTGTTGCAGGAATATTTTACACAGGGCTCTTGACTGTTTCTTGAAGTTCTCAATTTGTGGAGACCCCAAAGAGAATTTTCTCTAGGGTCTCAGTACCAGGAAAATCAGTCTTTCTCTAGAGAAAACAACTTGCTTTAAACTTATGGATAACACAAATCTTAAGCAGATGATGTATTTTATTTTTGCTTTACCAGTGGAATACCGAATTGTGGACCTGTGCCTAGCAACCTGGTGGTATACATTTCAATGTGCTGATTTTTTCTTAGCTTTTACTGATTTTTCACAGTACACTTTTCCTTTGCTTCTATCTCTAAACTTTCAGGTTCTTCATTGCAAATTGTGAACCATCCTAAATCCTTTGAAAAATAGAGTTAAAATTATAACAGCATTTTTAAAGGTAGCATTGTTATGCCATTCCCTTGCTTCTTACAGTGTTTCATGTAATTTATGCTCAAATAGGAACAGAAATCAAAATACTAAACCATGAGAATTCTCCTTTGCATGATGTCCCTCCCTACTTTCAACCCACCCAAGTGCTGGAGAAGAGAGGTTTCCTGACACAAGGATACTTCTAGGATTCCAGAACCATATGACCTCCTGCCATGCACACAGCAGAAAAACCTAAGAAAATCACAGGGAACTGAGTTGATGAACATAGCAAGGTTCCCCAAGGAGAAAAAGTGAGAGATAGGATAGAAATCTGTGTAGAATCAATGTAAGTGAGAACCTGCATGGTTGAGAAAGAAGAATGAGAGATCCACCCCACCAGCTTCCCAATTTTGGACTCTGTACCTTTATTATATAAGATAAATTTTGAGATACATCTTCTACTATCGATATGTATATGTGTTTGTATTTAAATTCTGTTGAATTCCATGTATATTAACATTTATAGTTATGAAAGGATGACACACAGTAACTATACTCTTTATAGTTGTACTGAGATTTTCTTCATCCATTCTCGCCCATGATGCTGGTCCCACTACAGAGACATCTGGTCTGCAGAGTGGGAGGCTCCCACTGCATCATGTGAGTAAATTAGGGGAAAACTCCAGATTTAACAATGCATTTATCTAAATTGTGCAGTGAATGTCATTTGATCATCTTCCAGCCATGTATGTCAAACTTGGCATGATAGTCAATTATTTTCAGCCTCCTTTTTGAAGCAATGTGCTTCTGTGACATCTTGAGGTATCACAAACTAAACTTTGGACTTGCTACTCCTGAAAGCAGAACACAGAAGATGCTGACTTCCCATCCTGAGTTTACAGCTGGATTTTGTGGCCATAGCGTGGACCATCCTCCTGCATGTGAAGGGCAGGGGCAGGGGAGATCACTTACAGTTCACAGTGACCTTCACTCTCCGTACCACGGGTGCGGCCACGTCGTTGGAGGCACTGCACTCATAGTCCCCGGACTGCTCCCGGGTGATGCCCTGGATTTCCAAGTATTCATCTTCACTCACAAAGCCAACAGCTGCAGAAGAAGCAGTGGGGTGTTGTGAGATAGGAGGGAAGAAAAGACCGAAGGTATAAAATTGGAAAGCCAAGTATAAAATGGTTGCAGCTGCAGAGAATTGCACCATTTGTAAGTTCAGGTTCTTCACACTATGTGGACTCTCCCTCCAAGTCCTTCCTACACCTTTGTGTACCAGCTTCTCCGTGGGTCTAAGGGGCCAGCTGAAAAGTCTGTGTTCCAGCTGAACACAGTGCAGTACAGAGAGGATTAAGGGGTTCTCAATTAGTGACCGGGGATTTTGACAGTTAATGCAGCTTGCATCTCATCAGGCCTCACAGCTCTAGGATCTGGGTTAGGCACTTTGATGCTTACTGATCTCAAGGTTGCATTTAGACAGAGCCTTGAATGTAGAGCTTCCAACTGCCTCGCCAGGCAAGAATCAATTAAAAATGCCATACTAGTGCCCTATCCCTCTGTCTCTGTCTCTCTGTCTCTCTCTCCCTCTCATACAAACACACACACACACACACACCCCAAAGGCAGTGTAATAGATGTAACTGGTTTTAGATTAAACAATTAATTAGATAGGCAGAAATCAATTTTCCAAACTTCAGTCTGTTAGATCTCTTAATTGCAAGATCCAAGTCAACAACGGGACAGCAGAACTGATACATCAGCCAAAGCAGAGAAGAAGTAAAGAGTAAAGAGACCTGGCTGCAAATCTTCCTTTGTCACTCATTCATCTCTGGACTCAATTTCTCTAGTGACAAAAATTATGATCAGTAAAAAGACCCTCTGCTGACCAGACAGCACAACTCACATCTAACTATAAGCATTCAGCTCTGGAAAGAACAAGACATTGATGTCTAGAAGATAGATGTCAGTGTTCTGTCCCAGAGCCACCCCTGAGCCTTAGCTTTCTTGATCAAAGAAAAGGATTAACAGGTAATGCATACATTCTGGGGCTATCTTCCTTTGTATTAAGAGAAGATAATTAGGATGACAACATCCTAAACAAAGGATACTTTTGAAAGTAAAAATAGGGTATGGCTACTTATTATTGGACAACAAGCTTGATTTAAGACTGACCCTAGTAGTAGAAAAATATTTTATTAGATTTGATATACATTACAATGCTAATATGTCACATTTATTTCGAGCTACAGATTATGCATCAGTGGACATGTGCATACACACATATACACATAAAAAACACTGTAAAAATTCTCATGTGCTGCACACTTGTTGACATAATTATGAATCCTACAATCTCCCTGGAGGTCTAGACTCAGGTGAAGTGAGACTACATTTGCATAAATAGTCCCAAAAAGGCATCAAAGGGACATTTCTTCCCTGATCTTAAAACCACTTCATAATGCCACGTTTTAACTGGCCCTGAGCATGAACTTGATTACAATAAAAAACTAATATAACATAGTGAATGATACAGGTGGTCTGTTAAATTATGTTTATATTTGTTTTGTTACCATGCTGAGATCGTCATTTCTGAAAACAGTGACAATAGCACCAGCAACATCAATGAAACAAGACTCTTGTCAAGAGGGTGCACTACTTGTCTAACCCTGCTGCAGCTCCTTGGTCATGATAAGTCTGTGGTATCAATGAACAGTAACCTTCACCTGAGCATTTCCTCACACCACATGGGACCTACACTCAACACCTGTGAAGACTGTCTTTCTCTATTACCTAGTGATGGGGAAAAGACAACAGCATATTACTATTATGACAAACAAGAAAGAGATGTTACATTTATTGAAAGAACAGCAAGTTCATAACTAGAAAACAAGGTCTTAAAAGCCCAGCATATACAGCTGATCATCAATATGAAACAATATAGACTCACAGTCCCAACCTGAAAGAACCTTGTAATCTCCTGAGTAGCCCTTATTGTCACTGTTCTATACATAGCTTCATGGACAAAAGCAAAACAAAACAAAACCTTGGTGCAGGCAGTAAGAAGAGTTGTAAGTAAAGAATTTGTGGTTACTCTTATATTGTCATTGTTTATTTGCTACCAACAATAAGCCTATATTTGTCAGATCTTTCTGTGCTAGAATGCTATAATTACTGTACAAAACATCTCAGAGACCAGTGTCACACTTAATATTCCCATTAATTTTAAATGGTAGTCCTTGGTACATATCTGAGGCAATTGGTGTCATATTTTAATTAGGCTTGCCCTACACCATCTGAAATTAATAATAGCTCGAATAACCAGTGTAATTTATAAATTAACAGTGCTGCAGCATTAGGAAATAAATTAGCTCTGGACAGCTGTTCTGGATTGTGCTGCAGTGTTCTGGTAGGGGATGGTGGACCTCAGGTCTCTGGGGGGCTGTGTCATATACTACCAAATCAGACAAACAAAAAGACACAGGGTCCTCCTGGACTTGCACCCTTCTCTCCAGCTCAGGTCTATGCAGTGTCTTTAATTCTGCCTTCCAAACATGCTCTTGTGTGACCACACTGAGATTTACAGGGACTAATATTTGATGAGCTTGCTCCATGGACATCCAAAGGGAGAAAGAGAATTTTAGAAGTACAGTCATAAACCAAAATTCAAGTGCACAAATGTTATGTTACGGTAATCAAAATCAAGAACTCAGGAATGTTATGTTATGATAGTCAAAATCAAAATCCTGTTTTTGACAGGGAAATAGGTGTAGGAATAGGTGTATAATTTCATTTACTCCTACTAGTTGGTATATATTCTATAAGAAAGGAAATTAAGTAAGGCTTAGGATTTGGGAGAAGCATAAAGTCTTTACTTATCCAGTTTTCTATTATCAGGAAGAGGGAATATGCAGTCAAGTCATCCTAGAAAAACCAATGAGACATTATGTCCTCTAGACCAAGTGTAGAATTACAGAGAAACCATAGCGTAACCATCACTCACCAGGCATTATACCTCCACTTCCTGATAAAATTGGGAAACATATGAAAAGGTATTTATATATGTAAAAGTGCTTCATAAATTTCAGCTTCATTGTCAATAGTTTCACTTTTCCTTTGGTACATGTTTTTCTCTATGTGGCAACACCAGCAAAAAAAGATGATCACTGTACACACAGAAAACTAAATTTTCAACCACCAGAAATGAGGCTCGTATGTGTGCTGTTTAAAAAAAAGCCCACTAAAATGGAAATGTGGATTTTTTAGAATTAAAGAATAGAGAAAAGATTTCATCTAACAGCATTTGTACTCTGGATACAAATTGATCAGTGCTTTTTCACCGGTATGAAGAACTTAAAAAGAATGTTGAAGGGGGAAAAAGAACAGCTCAATGGAGTACACTTTTTAAGTGCTACATGATTCTTAAGAGACACCCGAAGAAAGAGGCAGACCACCTGATAGAGCCCAATGAAAAGAAACTCTTCATGGTCAATAGGTTTTTATTTATAACTCCGATTTGTCCTTTTTTAAAGAAAACGCATCCTTCGGTAGAAAGGACACTCATCTTCTGAAAATATCACATTCCTCATGTCATACCTCTTCAGACACTAAAGTGCCTTCCCATTTTCTGTAACTTCCCACTGATTTATTGTTAAAATCTGCTGCAAAGGATCACCAATTTCCTCACCTAAACTCATCTTGCATTAGTGCTGCAAGCAAGGGAACTGATCATCATTGTAAAGAGCAAAGAATTGGGATAAGACAAAGCCAATTCTTTGCCTGTTACTTTCACAATGAGGCAAGTTACATAACTCCTCAGCACCCCCATTTCTTAGCCTGCAGCACCCTGAATAATATTGCATACTTCATGTGTTGCTCTGAAGGACAGTAGATGAACTGTATGAGGATGTAGGTGGCACAGGACAAATGGTCAGGGATGTTACCCACCAAAATCATCATTATCACAACCACTGATGCAACTCATAATTCTTCATCTTGGACAAACATGATTGCTCCATTCTCCACAGATTGCTTTTGTAATCTACAAAGCTGTGCTCTTTCTGTTTACCTAAGCAAATAGTATTTATATTTTAGTATCTAAATCACTTGTGAAAAGCCCCTAATTTAGTAGGAATTCTGTTCTCCTCAAAAGCATGTTTAAGACCAAGCCATCAGCACTTCAGAATGTGAACATATTTGGAAAAATAGGTTTTATAAAATAATCAAAGGGATATGCAGTGTTAGGGTGGGCTTTAATCCAATTGACTGGTGACTCACAAAAAGAAGCTCAGACAAGGAAGAATATGGCCATGTGAGGGGAGAGAGATGTATCTGTAAGCCAGGAAGTGCAGAGAGGTCCTTGTAAGCACTGGAAGTTACAAGAGCAAGAGAAAGCTCTCTCGTACACTTGTCAGACAAAGCATGGAGCAACTAATACCTCAATTTCATACTTTCAGAACTGTGTGAGAATAAACTGGTATTTTGAAGGTATGCAACTCTTTGTTCCTTATTACGCTGCCCTGGTACAGGAACACATCCTCTCTCATCTCCAGCTCTCCATCCCTCGGGCTGGCCTGCTCCCTTGCTACACATTGAGTTCATGTAGTCTTTAAAATCATAAAAGAACAAGCTAGAAGGCTTAGAGGGACATTAATGGTTACATAATTCCATAGCTGCTATTTTAGGACATAGTCCTACCGCAGTAGAATCCCTTAGAATGATTGTTTAAAATATAGATTTCTAGGTCACACTCGTACCTACTAAATCAGATTTGCCTGGAATGAGGCACTTTCCTCTTCTTACCAGGGGAGCCTAATGTGTATTCCAGTTTAGGAAATAGTGATTTAGTTCCCTCCCTTCTTTTTCTTCAGGAACTATATGCCTGGAAAAGTCCATGGTCAGTGACAGGTCCAGCAGGTCTCTTGATAACTAGTTGCATTGTTTGAACTGCCGTTGTGTTTTCTAATAGGTGTTTACTGTGATACACTCTGCTTTTTCCAGCTTGGTGAATTTTTTAGACAGCAGAAACGAAGTCTTGGCTATCTCTGGCTGTTCAGGAACCTAAGAAACTAATTTATTTGATTTGAAATTTGTCAAATCCCCAT